CCCCCCCCCCCCCCCCCCCATATTGATTTACATCCGACGGCCTTGGCTCATGCTTAGATTATATAAATTAATAACATCTGGTTATGTATGCAATTTTCGATTTTTATCGAAATTTATTGCCGTTTTTAACTATTTCGATTTTTGGTGGATTTTTGTGTGGTTTTTCGGTTTTAATGGACCCATGCAACGCACACAATATTTTTTTTTAAATAAGGAAACTAGACAATAGCTTTTCAATTAAAATATTTTAGTTTATTCTGTATTAAATTATGTATGGGAATTACTATATACCAAACGTTTTGCAAGTTATGTCTAATTCAAATTAATGTTCTGTCTTTTGATTAAAAAAGCAATAAAGATGCACAGAAGCCGTGAGCCTGCATGTATGTTTACGGACTAACATATATATTAAGTCTCAGTTAAATCAACATGCTTGTAGTTTTATCAAGAGCTTCGTCGTGAAAAGAAAGGTTCAACCGACATTATGTATAAAAACATGTCAATACGGTAGGTTTATATATTAATGAAATTCAAATTGGTTTCTTTTGACCACGTTTGCACTAAAGCAAACGTTTCTGGTTTCGTAAAAGTATCCTGCATGATTCCTTGTTTTTCAAGTATACGCATTCGCGAGGCGTTTACGCAACACATCCTGACACAATGATCGCCATGTATTAAGTATAATTTTAATATTGTTAGTGTTATTATGCGATGGTTTGACCCTGTTTGGCCGTTGAATTTAATAGCAGTATACAATATACGCGGGTGCAAATTTAATTCGGATTCTTATAGTGGAAAGACGTTCATATTTTTTTCCGATACGAAGTTCCCATAATTCACAAACGTTTCCGGATTCGAAAGTTCCGGATTTTACATCCACCATGCTCGAACAGCAAAACGATATAAAAACACCCCAGATTTGTATAAAGAATCTAAAAACTTTTGCTCTAGTTTCAACATTGCCATTGTGCCCAGCTGACCAATACGTCAAAATCATCCCACCTTCCATCCCGTTCCGATAGAAACTGGATCATAAATGAATCACTATCACTAGGTTTAAACGAAGGTTCAAACGCTGGTTTGATGAAACTCAATACATCCAAATCATCTCGCCTCACACTTTCTCGTTCGATCCGAGCAAAGCGCGGGTCATATAATTATGCAAGCTGCCCTAAAGGACAAAACCTGCCTCCTTACCTGACGAAATGCTATCTTTTTCTCGATGGGGCACTGGAGTTTCCCTGCCCACCTCCTCTGGCGCCACACCTATAAATAAATTTTACTATTGGTGTTTTACTCTTGCTGTTTTTGTAAAATAAACCTAAATAAAATACAATGTCCTTTCACAGGTTAATGTTGGCAATGGTTATTTCGTGCTGTCAAACTGTCATGGAAGGTGAAAAACTTTCGGTCACCAGTCAACGTTATAAAATGTTACATGGTCATACTTTTCGTAATATTTCGAACATCAAAATGACGGAGTGTCTACAAAGTTGTTTATCTGATTGTCTTTGCCTTTCATTTCAAATATGTCATAATGAATGTCAACTGTGCTCTTCCAACAAGGATTTAACACCAAGCGACTGGATGGAAAACCCAGATTGTGTCGCCTTCGAGTTCTGGAAAAATGAAAGAGAAAATGAGGTTAGAATAACATACATGACGAGCCGCGCAATATTAACGGCTTATTGACCGAGCATGAGGTCTGTACTGTGAAACATCAGACCGAGGTTTTTTAGTATGGACCGAGCGATGGAGGAGCGAGGTCCATGCAAAAAACAGTTGGATGATATTTCACAGTACAGACCGAACAAGCGAGGTCAATAATCGGTTTATTATATGGCTGAACTTAGTCTGTGAGCATATGCTTTTTGCGCGAATTAAATCGGCTATCGTCAGTTTGACTGGGTAACAATATACGGTAGGCATGCATGCTCAATCAAAAACAATTTTGTTGTTTGAAAATTTTATCTGTAAATTTTAATGACACACAATTGAAAAATTAAAAAGCAAAAATTTTTTCTGTTTGCAAAGCAAAAATTTCCCGCCAGCTAAACGACATGCGGGACACCGGTCCAGATACGAAAAATACGGACCACGGTCCGGATATGGGTTTTTACGGACCGCTTGTCAACAAATCAGAATAGAGAATTTTGAAAAGCCATATAATAAACGTCTTTATTAATATTGCGAGCAATCATATGCAGTAATAATATATTACATGTGGCACTCAGTGTCAAGTTACATTTTTCCAAGAAGGTCCCGAACGGTAAAACGGGAATTGGGATTTGCCTAGTTTGGAAGAAACCCATATACCATTATTAAGACAGCTGTATGTATAGTTGGACATTTCAGAGTTTAAATAATTTCAAATAAAGCTAAGGCGCAACTTTCGATTGCGAGGATGTCTAAAGTGTTCTAGAAGACCACTGCGGCACTTCCAAGGGGGCGGGATGCAGCCGAAGGGGAGGGGGAGAAAGGGTGTGGCCATCTCGTCAATGTTTTCAGAGTGTAGATCGTTCAAATTCGATGCAAAATTGGAGTGGAAAATTGTCATCAGACACGGTAGCTTATATCTGGCGGGCATCTATATAAAGTTCTATGCATGTGACTCCTACTGAATTAAATTGTCAAGTGTTCTGAAATCAATATTTTGCACTTTTAACTTAAAAGGTGATTTATTATTTTATATATCCCCTCACAATGCAGGATTCAGAGACCCAAAATTCAATCTTAGAATTGTGACCAATAAATTATTACTAAGCCCCTTCCCTGATCATGATTGCATTGATTTATTTCCTTTTCCGGCTCGAGGTCATTTTAAACCTTTTACTCTGCGTGAAGTTATTTACAAAGAGAGATATTGAAAGCAGAATATTTTAAAAGTCAGCAGTAGCTAGGCGAAATTAAACACCTGCTGCGTGCTCAGGGAATTATATATTGCATTTTCATTAACTCTCTCGACAAACAATGATTTGTCGCACAAAACAACGTTTGGTTCTCAAAAAGCAGTGAACAGGATTTAAAATACCACAATAACACCATCAAAATATTAGAATACGTGCAATCTATTGTTAAATTAACGAAAATTATATAAAATTATCTGTTTATTTCAGCTTGATAAGCAACAGTGCGATCAAGGTTGTATGACGTCATTGAATTGTTGTGTGACGTCATTCCCATGTTTACATGGCGGGAAATGCAATGTTGCTAAGCAATACTCTGAGCAACGTTTTGTGTGCAAGTGTTCAAATGGTTACCATGGATACCGTTGTGAGAAGTCGTGTAGTCCTGGATTCAAAGGAATAAACTGTGACGAGCCAATCTTATCGTGTCGTGGTTATAACAATGGAAGTGCTGTATCAGGATACTATACTATATTTGGTGGCAAGAACAACCACACCTATACAGTATTTTGTGATTTTAGTTCAAATACGACATGGACACTTGTACAGTCCTATAGCTTTGAAAACAAAGATCAATTTCAGTTGCCGTTTTCCGTAAGTAATGCTAGCAATCAGGGAAATGCTCCATTTTGGAAAAGTTATCGTATTTATAAATCGAAAATGAATTCTATAATGTCAGACAGCACGAAATGGCGATTTACTTGCAATTATGATAGTAACGGTACGGTTTACATAGATTATGTGAGAGGTTTAACCACAGAACTTGATATGATACATTTTAATTCAGAACGATGTGTCAAAGTGCAGTATATCAACGTACGGGGTTGGGACTGTACTGATTGTATGGTTTACATGAAGCAGGTTCATGACATTCCCTTACATGTCAGAATCGGAATTTGTCAGTTTACTAATGTCGACAACTTGAAAGAGTGTCATGACAATGGTGCTGCTTGGAATGAGACGAGTTTTGGATATTATGGTTTGTTACAACACAGAACATCGATGTTCATCTTCATTGTCTGCCACAACACAATTCTGGCTGGGTGGGTGAAACCACACTTCTACCATCTTGTCTATAAACCATATTACTATATTAGAGGGCTTTAATTAAACAAGTACGTTTTTGACGACACGGCGGTCGTCACGCGTACAGAATTTAACCGTTAATTATATGGCTTTAGCAGTTCGTGCTTGAAATAAAGAACGCCCAATCATTACAGTTTCACGTTTTTGTTTTCAAACGAGAACGGCTGTCGCCATCTATAACGGCTCTATTTATTTTCCGTGTGCGTTCGTCAATTTTTATGATTAGATATAAGTAATCAAAACCATATTGGTTACACAGGAAAAAATATATTCAACAACGGCCCCTAGTGGTTAGATAGTAAAAATCGTAGTGTGAAATAATATGACCATGTAGTGGCCTCGTATTGTTGTCAGAGTGGCGGACGGTGAAAAATATGCCTATATGTGATGAAAATAAAAAAATAAATGACTTGTTATTTATATTAATGTGAGCCTGAATAATAATATAAGTACAGGTGTACGTCTGAAATCTAAAAATTGAGATGCTTGTGTAAATGTGTGTTGGTCAAAATGTATCCTGTGGTGTATTTCTCCTTCTAGAGCAACCGAAAATAAAACTGACAGAACTTCCTTGCGCCCTTTACTCGCTGGCGCGCCAATTCTTTAGGAGTTGCACCAATATTTTCCCGAGTCACGTGATTATGTTGCAAGTCATACTAGCACAATACTCCTTTTGCAACAATTGGTCACGTGACACCATCTCCCTTAAAAATGAGCAGCTGATAAACTTGTCATCCGTAGCTGCATTTCGATATACAAATACAAATCATCCTGAAAATTATGACTTCTGGGTTGGACAATGAGCTTCTTGTTAGGATAAAGACCCCAGGTTAGGGTGTGGGTTGGATTTGGGTTAGATTCAGTAAGATTTTGTTTTCTCAACAACAGAAAAATTGCCAAAATCTGACCTATATCTCATCAACCTGCAACTTAGAATCTCCGCTGGGCGACCTGACGTTTATTTGGGCACGTATATAACCCAACGAGGTGGCTTTTAGCCTTAATTTCAGTTGGAATTTAGTTCTCCAGGGAAGCGTATCCCTGGATCTGTGTATATTTGGCATTTGGACAAACCTCAACCACCCTTGAAATAAACATTTAAAAATCCTTTTACATCAGTGATTAATTTATACTAGACTTGCTCCAAGTCTGCTTCTCAAAGGGGTTTTAAATCAGGAAAAAGTGGACACGTGAAAATGCGGGTGGAGAAATTTTAAAATTCCATAAGTTAAAGATATGAGCAAAGTAATTCCACAAATTTTCTTTATCTCTTTCACACAAGCTGCTAAAATAGTTCAAAGATGGTAGTTACGGTAAGGACATAAAGCTCACTGGTCAAAATAAATCTGTATTTTGTAATGAGCCTAATGGGCCACCATACTTATCCTACAGTTTAGGGAGTATGGTGTCCTATCCCCGCCAAAATTCGAACTTTTCATTTGTGATACACCTTTTTAAATTTGACATCCATGTTTTTGTATTTTGCATACAACTTTTTCCATTTTATACACAACTTTTTTTTCATTCAACTTCTTCCATTTTATATACAAAATTTTGTATTTTGTATACAACTTTTTCCATTCCACTTTTTATATTTTACATACAACTTTTTGTATTGGCAACTTTTTATAACCAACCGCAATCCAATCAAAAAACATACTGCGGGCTTATTGTATCAACCACTAACCAAAGTTCCACGCGGGTGCTTCAGTTTCGGTGTCACAGTGATATGAGTATCCCCGTCTTTTGTGTATCCCCTACTAATATCACTAGGGATATGTGTATACCCATGCTCACCTCACTAGGGATATGTGTATCCCCAGCAATATGGCGGTCGTGTTCTGCGTCCCTAAAGAACCACCCTACATTCCCACTGTGACTAGGGATACAGATAGCCCTAACATTTCGCTGGAAATAAAACATGCAAAACTGCAGATACAAGCTTGAAAATAACACTCTAAATAGTGTGTTGGATTGTGTTTCGAACAAGCCTAATACCAAAAAGATATGTTGAAAGGGGCCGAAGTTATATTCGGCGAAAGTATGGCTTAGTGATGCATAGTTTACATTCTTCGAGTTTATCTTTATTGTATATAGCAACGGTTTTCAACTTGGGGGACATGTCCCCGAGAGGGGACATTTGGCAAATTTCTAGGGGACACAAACTGGTCTAGGACTGAGAAAAAAATTCCATTATTTCCTGGTATTCGAGTAGTTACAATAGTTTGTACTATAAACATGTTTGCTTGACTTTCTATCTATTATTTAAAATTTAAATAATTTACTATTTTACTAACTATTTCGAAATTCGTGTTTTTGATAGACTTCAGTAGGCAATTTCTGTTCAGGGGACGTGGTAATTCAATCATGTGAAATCGGGGACACATGAGAAAACCAGTTGAAAACCGTTGGTATATAGTATGGTATGGTTAGTTTACATTGTTCAAGTACGCCTAGTTTATAATTTATGGCTATTTTACACTGTTCGATTTCATAGAACTTTCAAGCGGATTTTTTTGGTGGTACTTTTATATTTCTACTGCAAATACTCGCGGAGTTCTGTAATATTTAAACTTCCTGTCATATACGTCGGAAATCAAGTAATACGGAGCCATATGAGTTAATCATGTTAATTTAAGAGTAATTAGACTTTAGGTTAAGAATATGCATAGGTTACTGTTAACTGTTCAAAATACTATGCTTTTTAGCGTAGCCTATATTGCTCTATGTCAATAAACATACGGATATTGTTCCTTTTTGTGTTATACCACAGGCATCCCAGCACGGTTGTACAGTATAAGCTTTTTATATGTGATTAAGCAATATATATTGTCACAGCTCATATTTTGAATATTGCATCCTTTCGCTTCTAGTGTTGTAGGTATCCCCACTGGGGGAACTTTTATCCCTAGGGATATTAGTGTGGGGGATACTAAAGCCACGGGAATGTTCGTATCACTGTGACATCGGCGCCATTTTTTTGTCTTTCATGTTTACGTACTTTTACAATATCCTACGTATAAAAATATAAATATGGCCAGATTGAAGCTAAACGAAGTACGGGCGACGTTACTAAGTGTCGTCAATAATATATCGTCGCTCGCATCCAGTTGCAGTGTAACTAGTGCACCAGGTAAGTAGTATTAATGTATATTGTATATGTAGATTTATGCATATTAAATATACATATTTTCGCAGCTGTTCCTGCATGGTTTATTATTCGACGTGTAAAACACTAGGCCTTAATGGACGTATTCTACGTATAATACAGGCCTTAATAAGATGTTTTATTACATTTTTTTGCAAGATATTTTTTTTCACAAAGTGATTAGGGACCAGTTATTATTTATGGGTGGCACCGAAGAGAAAAGGGTTGGGTATACTAAATTTTGAGTAAGTAAAAGGTTGGGTAAATGAAAAACAAAACAACTCAAGGGTTGGGTAATAAAAAATTATTGTCATTTCCAAAGCATGACTCACTGAAGTATTGGGGACTAAAAAGCAATGGCAACAGTAGGCCCTACTCTGGGGCGATAACGAGATAATGCGAGTTTAAGCAATTTTAGGTGATTTAAGCAAAATCTGCAATTTAAGAAATGCGAGTTTGAGCGATATAGGGCAACCTAAGAAAACAATTAAAATTCTAGGGAATGCTGTTTTAGGTGTTTAGAGGTAATTTCAGGAATATACAACTATATCCCTGATGACTCCAATGAAATTACCATTAACCTATGCCAAGCATCCAAACATGAGTGTTCCCACAAACACACACACATGCAGTGTATGAAGCAAAATATACAATTTAACAAAAAAAGTTGAAGTCTGCTTGAGGGAGTTCTGGAAACAAACAATACACTGTATGCGCATGACGATCATGAACATTTTTACATTTTGTTGTACATACTTTTAAAACTTATGATTCCCAATTAATTAACATTAATTAAGAATCCTTTTGACAGACAGACTTGCATGATTACACATGTGTTATAAGCTCTAGTAATTAATTATTAAAACCTTCTACATGATTGGCATTCAGCCCAGTGCCTGGTTTCTGTCGAGTAATTGGAGACATTTTTTTCGGCTGTCAGCATGTGAAGCGCGCTAATCCGGTGGCTTCTTGAATATTCGCCGTTCAGTTGGTTGAACCATACATAGTTTCGAAGCGAGTTTAAAATCAAATTATATCTATACTCAAAAGCTAGGAGAAAGGTACGCATTACTTTACATATATATGTTTGTTTATTGCTGCCGAGCGCCAGCGAGGCAGCACACTATTCTTGACGTCCTCACGTTTCTCCACAGTGGTTTCTCCAGAGTTTACTCGACCCAGTCTTTCGCGCGACCTATGTATTGTCGAGATCTGTGTAGCGGTTTGTCAAGGGAATAATTCTAGAATCTAGAGTATAACAGTGTACTTATTAAATCCAATAATATGTTAGTAATTGGTCTGTTTGTATATTTTTATATTACAATGAATTATACTACAATGATTTCAGGGTATATAATCTGCTCACAATTTCTTTCCTGTTTATAATATTGTAGAGATTTAGAATTCTGACTGAGTAAACAGAATAATATGGATGTATTGTAATGTAATGGATGTCAAAAACTTCATCTTAATAATACTTGGATGGCCTTTGGCAACAAAGTGCTTGCATTGCAAAGATAGCCTAGATAGATCCAACCACTCAGTTGTGCATAATGGTTGTTATGAATTTCAAATATGAATTTGTTTATTCTTTGCCTTGCCGATACCAGACCCCCAGGTTTTTAAATGGCCTGAAATTGAAGAAAATTCACAGTCAAATAGGGTTGGGGTATTAAGGGCCGGCCTGTTTTTATGGAAGCCAGGCTGGCCCGCTTAGCAAGACAGCCCAGTATGCGAGATCTCACTGTGTAGTCATTTTTGTAGTAAAAATCATTGTGTGTTTATATGGCTCGGCCCGGTTGCCGCGATCTCGCTTGAAAGAGATCTCGCTTATCAGGATGGAAATTTCTCCATATAAACACTCACAAGCGGG